CCAAGGTTACACAGCCACCAAGTAAGGGTGACAAGACCCCAGGTCTGGGAGGCTGCAAAGGGCCTGCTTTTTTCTGTTAGGCCACCCCACTTCAGTCCAACCCGAGGGTACCCCTCAGTCCCCTTCGTCATGCATGGATGGCTTCTTTATATTGTGTTTTCTCAATGCTGCTAAATTTTACATATCAAATGTCTTAATGTAACGGGTCCCCATCAGCAGAGTTTACGGAGTAGGAAGCTGTGTGTAGCTGTAAAAATAAAAAAAATAAGGATAGTGTGTAAAAGGGAGCCCACTGCATTCTAATATTCCTTATACGTCTCAGAATTTGCCTTCCAACTGAGAAATCTGAGTTCAGACCCAGTTGGCACCATCTGCCCCTGGTACACAGCCTTCTGGAGATCTAGCTCCGCTCAGACATCTGCAAGGATCCGAACTGAAGCTTTTTGTACACTTCCAGACTAACTGAGCTGCTAATTTGGGTTTGTTCTGTTCCTCGTACATTGTCTTGGGGACGGACCAAGATGTATGCCCCTCCATCTGTTTGTTCATTGCCTGACACCTATTTATTATCACCCGCCTGCACTACCCCAGGTCTGCAGACCAGAGACGAAGACCCAGCCCTGCCTTCCTGGAGCTCACGGTCTGGGGAGACAGACACGATGGCAGAAATGTCAGTAGGAGAGGATAGAGGCTCTGAAAAGGCGGTCGTGCCAGTCCAGCTACAAAACTGCTCTTTTCCCAACTCACACAATCTTGGCGGGTAAAACCTCCTCAGTTTTAAGTTTGTCTCCTCTCAATTCTTTTCACCGTCTCTCCCCCCACCCCCAAGCACCTGCTGCCTTCCTTCTGTCTATGGCAAATTCTTGCAGGTGCCCAAAGAGAGGAGCGAAAGGTAATCAGATATGGACAGAAAAACTTTCAAAACACAAGCTTGGACGGTTTGCTTTTCTTTTCAATGGTTTGCATGTGCATGACTGTGACTTTATCACACGTGCTCACAACATCACTCTGTTTCCTGCTGTAATATTTCTTCTTGATTCCCAGGACAGAAGTCACTGTATCAAATGATCTTGGTGTCCTACCAAAGGCCGCATGGCTTCTTGGGTCTCCACTGTTGGAATACCCTCGAGAGTCATCATTTTGGTAGACAGAAGTGGGCTTTGGGGTCAAATCCCAACCTTGCCATTTACTGGCTGTGTGATCTTAGATGAGTTTCTTTAACTCTCTGGGCCTCAATTAGCTCACATATAAAATAGAAATGATATCACCTACCTTGGAGGATTCCTGGAAGGGTTAAAGGAGATAACTGTAAAATTACGCGGCACATAGCACATAATAACTGTTGCTATACGATCACTTCTTCAAGCAGCTGTTCCTTGTATATTTCTGAGCACCTATGACCAGGCCAGGTCCTATACTGGATGCTGGGGACACAGAGGGGACACCTAGTTGCCTGGCAGCCATGCAGTGCAATCTCAAATTTGGGAGATTATATCATTGGCAAGGAGCACCTTGATGGCAGGGCTCATGTGTAATTCAGCTATCCCTGCTGCCCAGTGGGAGCATGTCAACACCAGCCAGTACTTTTTGGTGGGCAAAAACTGTCACAGCCATACTGGCCCAATTTGGTACTTTGTGACTTCTGGCTGTGCCCCCCAAATAGAATAAAATATACAAGGAACGTGATGCGACTCCTCTGAAGCCATCCAATCTGTCACCAAAACCCACTTGAAGGCAATCTCAAAAAAGGGGCTTCAGCAAGTGGCAGGAGACAAATGTGCATGTGTGGGAGGGGGCACTTTGAAGGGGATCACTTGCATGTTGTTAAATACCATCTGTTTATTTCCCCAGTGGTGGTATTTTCTGGAATAGCACAAAGTAGAGGTCTGAGCAAGGCGCCCTGGGTGCCCAGGGCAGCCCCAGGCAGCCTGGTGGAGACTTCCGGCGGAGGACCCCTCGTCTGTTCAGGATCGGGATAAACAGGTCCTTTCCAGACCATGAGACCCTGGAGGGGCAACCCTGAATAAGCCAGGTACTTGATACTTAGAACTGCATCGGAGAGACCCCTCCCCCAACACTACACCCACGCCTCATTCCAGCCCACCTACAGCTGCCTCCACAGGCGTCACATGACGACATCCTGGCTTAAGCTCCCTCTTCAGCAGCCCCTTTGAGAAGCTATTTGCAGAGGCCCCCATTTGTGGTTCAGGGGCTTTGCACACAAGTGTTTGATTTTAAAAAGAGTGCAAGAGAAGTCACAGCAGGTGCCTCCATTTCCATCCTGGCCCCACCCCACCCTGCGCAAGGGCTGCTGCTGGGGGTCTTTGTGCTGTGTGTCTGCATGCAAACGTCATCCCCCACATCTGCTGTCCTGTGACAAGGGCCTTTGAAGCCCCACAATGACGCCATCTGCCAGGGACAGCCAGCAGCTCACTAGAGGCTGACCCCACAGTTGCCATGGCAACTAAGATGGCATCATGAGGCCTTCAGAAAAACTACCAGGCTAATACTGTCTGGAGGTTCCCTGCAGCATGGCTCACACTCAGGTGGAGGTGGCTGGGGCAGGGATGGAGGAGCGGCTGGTGGCCCAAATGGAGAAAGAAACGGAGGTGTTTGGCCTCTGGGTGATGAAGGACGGGCTCCTCCCCTGTGACTTCCTGGGACTTCCAGCTCTCAGAAGTCCATTCCCATCGAAAGAGGTCACATGACCCTCACAAGACTTGCTATGCTGGGTACCTCTGCATGTACTATTCCCTTTGCTTAGATGCTCTCTCGTTCATGCACTGGTCTAAAAAATGTCGCCTCACCCTTCAAGACCCATCATAAGGTTCCCTTCTGGGAACTTTCCAAATAGACAGGACTGTGCCCACCTTTGTCGCTGCCCAGTTCCACTGGTGCCCAGTCCCACCGGTGCCCCTGCTGGATGGGACTGCAGCGCTCTGTGCTCGCCGAGCCCCCTACTAGCTCATTCCTCCTGTTTCTAGTGAACTTGGGCATCTTTTCACTCCCTGTGTGGGCTCTTCTGTGAACGGCTAGTCCTTGCCGATTTTTTCTTTGGGATCATTTAACTTTTTTACTGATTTGTAGGGATTCTTTCTATATCAACTCTGAAGCGTACTCCTCTCGTGTTTGTCTGGCAAGTATCGTTTCCCTACTTGGGTTTGGTGTTTTAATTTCATGTTAGGTGTCCTTTGTTGAATGGAAGTTTAATTTTTTATGGAGTCAGAGAACAGAAAAGGCTCATATAAGCCCCAGGTTTTTGACAGCCTTTGTATCCAGGTGGCTTTCTATACCTGCAAAGAGCTTTCCTTTCAGGGTCTCCTCTGAGTCTGACGAGGCCCTGGGAGGTAGGGAGAATGTGGGTTATTATTCCCATTTTGTAGATTAGGCGATGGCAGCCTTGTTGTGGACATCTGATCTTTTGCCTCCTCGCACCCATTCCTCCCTCTTCCAGTAACTGGCCCGATGTTCCCCTTGCAGTCTTTGTCCTGGGACCTGAGTAGGGCTGGCCAGCTGGGACACACCATTCATTCCCCAGGCCACAAGGGTGGCCTGGGCCCTAAGACAGGCCAACGACAGCTATAGCCAGCCTATCCAGGACTCGGGGTGGAATTACTGAGAAAGGGGCGTTTTCTATTGGTAAATTCTTTTTGAAAATGAAACCACTGCAGAGGAAAGCAGGATGAAGAAAGGCCTATTCCGGGCCGGCCGAGTGGCGCAATGGTTAAGAACTCGCTTGGGATGCCAGAGGGCCCCGGTTCGGATCCCACATATGAGGGCCAGTGACACTGCCCTCTACAGCTAAGATGCTGAACAACAGCTCAACCTGGAGCTGGGCTGCCCTGAGTCGCCGGCGACGGCGTGGGCTGCAGTCCCTGTGGCAGTGGGTTGCCAGGGGCTACCGTGTGTGGCCAGCAGTCAGCGTGAGCGGCCAGCAGCCGCAGTGAGCGGCCATCCAGAAGCCGGCGACTGATCTGCCTCGCCCGGGAAGAGCGCAATGATGGTGCCAACTTGGGCCAGTGAAGCAACGTCCTCCACAACTAGATTGAAGAACAAAACGACAGCAACTTGTCTGTTCCCCTTTCCCCAATTCCCCAGCACTGTTCCCATCCCCCCAATTCCCCAATAAAAATCTTAAAAAAAAGAAAAAAAAAAAAGAAAGGCCTATTCCAGACAACACTTACGCCTGGACCCAGCCATGCCTGAGGCCTACGACACCCCGAGCCAGCTCGATGTGGCGTTCCGTCTCTTCTGTAACAGAGTTCTGACTGATACAAATCTAGTCAGAGCTGGAAACAAAAGTGCCAGGACGGGACCCCTGATCCTGAATCACTATTACAAGTACAAAGGGGTGTGAGAAGCCTAAACACTTTTAGGCCTCAGTGTCCAGATCTGAGGGGTAGGGATAATCACCCCTCTCCTCACCTCTGCTGACTGGCTCTTGACTGAAGCAGGGCACGGTGAGCCTGCTGTTCTGACCCCAAGGACATTTTGAATGGGAGGACAGGGAACAGTTTACTTGATAGAAATAATCAGCATTAAAAAAAAACACAAAACTGACGTCAGCTTGAAGCTGCCCCACAGAAACGTGGACTTGGTGGAGATAACGGCAAACAAGAAAGAAAAGGGAACAGGCAGGAAGAAAAGGAAGAAAATACCTGATAATATCAGCAGCTAGAGTTGGAAAACAGACAGGAAAAATTGACACAGAAAAGGATAAACCTTGCTAAGGATACTTTCCCTAAAAATGAAAAACTGGAGAAAACATGAACGACTGATGGAGTTCTATAAAGATCTGCTAAAGGAATTAAACTGATTTAGTGGCATTCCCTGCTGGAAAATATCTTCCTAATGAAACATCACCGATGTTGATGGGACTCTGATAACATTTCTGAACATCCTAGGGATCAGGGCCTCCTGTGTACAGGCTGTGCCCTCTTTTTGAGAACCTGTGAGGGCACCAAGAGAAGGAGCCCACAGCAAGCGCGCCACCCACTCACCGTGGTGATGAACCTGTATAGAGGCTGCCGTCTCTCTGTGTACTTCACCGTGATGGGGCTGAGGTCGTATCGGAACCAGATGGCGGGGATGATGCGACCGGTGTGGCTGTAGGCGACATACTCCTGGGGTGCAGGGAGAGACAAGGGGGACAGGGCATGACATTCAGGCACACAAACCGCGTCTCAGTGGGTGGGGGTTGGATCATAGAGGGTTCCCCAGCAATTCACGACAATGGGTTTTCTTTCCTCCCTCTCTCCCCCTCAGGAAGCCAGACCCCACCGGCCCCTCCGATCACACCCCTTCCCCAGAGACTCTGCCATCAGCATCTGGAGACACACCATTGCTGGGGGCATTTTTTACCCTTTTGGCTCTTTGGAAATGGACCATAAGACTTGGAAGCAGCACCAGAATAAAAATAGGGATCCGAGAGCAGAGATGGAAAAGGACAAGTGATTTGGGCTCCGTCTAAGTAAAGGCCTATTTCCCTGCTCAACTCCTGGGCCATGCAAAATCCACTGATTTATTCAACGATACTTTACTGAGCAGCTCTCCTGTGTGCTGGCTGCTAGGGACCCCATGTAAGCCTGCCGCCCCAAGAGGGGGGTCATAGGATGACGCAGATGTAAAAATGTCCGCAATACTGCAACACTGCACATGCCGTGACAGAGGGATATGGAGGGCTGATGGAGCCATGAACGAACAACCGATTCTGGGGCGTCTAGAAGGTTTGGTGAAGAGGGGACATTCTATGCCATACGTGACATCTTGAGGAGTGCACGTATGCATATGTGTGCATGTGTGTGAGAGAGAGAGAGAGAGAAAAAGATAGGTAGGGAGAGAGAGAGAGAGAGAGAGAGAGAGAGAGAGAGAGAGAGAGAGAATGAATAAAGGCCACATGGAGAGTGAGCTTCTTGGGAGAAAGAACACACGGAGCTGGACATGCAGAGCGCTCAGCCCTACCACCCGACCACAAGCCTTCCTGAGAAGGCGCCAGTGGGGACGGAAAGGACGCTAAGGGGCTAACTGAACAGCGTGTCCTCTCTGGTCTGGGTGCTTCAGGGTGCTGAAAACCTCTGGGCTACCCTCATTCATCTACAACTAGAGGCCAAGCTGAACCACAGGGGCGCCCCCAACCCCAAATGCTGAGCCTGAGCTCCAGGGCTTCTCCTGGGGATCAGCCCGAGCGAGACCGGCCCTCTCTGTTGGATGGCCACCGGCCCGGATGGGCACAGTCCCAGTCGCTCACAGGGCAGGCTGGGCCAAGGCCACAGATGGAGCTGAGCGAGCGGTTCTGGCTGCTGGGCCCTGGCCAAAGCCTCAGGGAAAGGAGCCTTGGGCAAAACAAGATCAGCTTTCTCCAGGGAGAGCTGATGGGGCAGGGTGGCTGTCCTGGGTCACCGCCCAGGCCTGAAGGACAGAAAAAAATAATGAAACATAGCAGCAGTGGGTACTATTTACCCAAAGCCTTCTTTGTGGGCTAAGTGGTTTTAAAAGCATTGCCTCATTTGACAGTAATCCTATGAGGTGGGCACCAGTTTACAAATAAGTAAACTGGTTATGCGACTGAGTGACTGAACGGGGTCGGAGCCGGCAGCCTGTTCCACGTCTCACACTCTTTCTGCTCAGACTGCACCCACGTTCTCCCGCTTGTCGGATGCTGTCAGTACTTGAGGGTGACAATGAGATGCCCTCCAAGAAACAGAGACTAAAAGAAAGAGGTTTCCTGCTGGAGAGTTAGACCAGAACATCAGCAGAGGTGGATCAGAGCAGAGGGACCTCAAGTCATCCGAGTGGGAGGAGCGCCCCGCCTGGCCGGCTCCGGCCCCTCATTCAGACCACACGGTGATGTGATCCAGAGGCCAGGTTCGGGAGCACGAGGAGAACCCAGTTCTAATCCCCACTTGGCCACTTTGTAGCTTGATGACCATCTCTTAGTGTGGTGGCCACATCTGTCAAATGGGGACAGTAATAGTCTACTCCCAGAGCTGTCATGACGACCAAGGAAGATGATGGGGTAGGGTGTTTCGCATAATGTCCAACTCATTGTAGGTACTCAATAAATGATAGCTACTACTCTTACTATTATTATTATTAATCGAGCGAAATCATATATTACTTAGGAGGGGGCTTGGGCGGCCCTAGAACAGAAGAAAAAGGAGAGTCCTGGTGGTGAAGGGGTCTACCGGGGTTGCCTCAACCAACGTGCGTGACGCTTTCACGTCCCGCTGGCAGGGTCTTCTCCTGGGAACAGAGGCTGTCTCGGCCTGAAACCACTAGCTGTCGGCCACCACATCGCGCTGGCTCTGGCCATATGCTCTATTCCCACCAAGGCCTGCCTGCTTCTCCATGACTTTGAGTGTTGGGGTCCTGGGACATTCCTGTTAACCAACAGCCATTTGCTGTAATTCCAGAGCCTCATGATTTTGGATAAAGTGCTTGTGCCCTGGGAACCAGAGCGTCTGTCGTGTGCTGACCAATCAGGGTCCAGAGCCTGAAGATGCAAAGCTGTGGAGACATTTGCAGCCCCTGGGGCCTCTGCGGGAGGCCACCTGCCTGCTCGTTCTTAAACAGGTCGCACCCTATCTCCTGGTTAGATTTCCCCCCTTTGACACTGGCCTCCCATCTTTACTCAGGGGACAGAGCCTGGCCAGAGCGGCCTCCCAGAAAAGGGAACCAGGAGAAATCTTGCCCAGGCACTTGTCACCCTTGCTCTCGGCCAGCAGAGGGCGCAATTGCACGCAGCTGGGCCCAGCCCTGCCCACGTACCTTGTTGGCGACTGTGTACTGGTAAGAGTACCGCTGCTTGCCACTCTTGTCCTCGTAAACCGTGGGCACAATCTTCAAGATGTAGTCGTGGGAGGCGAGGGCTGCAGGAAGGACACAGCAGGATGAAGCAGGGGGACGGGCACTGCCGAGCTGGCAGCTCTATGTCGTTTCAACCCTAAGCCTGCTTGGCGCTGCTGGGGGTCTGGGGTGGGGTGGGGGCTCAGTCTCCACATTTTCATTACCAAGCGATCCCTCTTCATTTCTCCCCTTTGATACCAGGAATTGAAAGACTCCACCTGTCAGGATCTTTACTCCTGTAGTAATATTACAATTCTGGAAACAAAGCAACGCCCATCAATAGAGCAACCAGTGAATGGTGGGTGCTGGGAGAGGCCACTCTCCAAGACGAATTGTTATGTGAAAAGGACCAAGTCACAGAGCAGGGTGAATAGCGTGTGTCCCTGTCCGGGGGACAGGGAACGCTCACGCTCTCTATATGGGGAATACATAGGAGAAATTTCTGGAAAGATGCCCAAAGAATGATTAGCAGTTTTAGCCTCTGGGGAGAAAGGCAGGATGTGATGAAGATCATATTTCATTGCACACCTTCTGGTCCTGTTTGAATACTGTTACTTTTAAAACACACCAAGTTTAAGTTTTGAAAAAGAAAAGAGCCCACCAACCAAAGAAACTGCATCTGTGAAGAATTGCTTTCTTTCCCCATTTTCAATGAATGGGAGATCAGCTCTCCGTCCACCTGGCCCTGTCATGTTTCCTGTAACTGACCCCCACCCTCGCTGGAGGCGGGGTGGGGGGCGTCGGGGGGAGTTACGGGGGTTGGTGCAGAGGGCAGGGACCGAGTCTCACTCATCTCTGTGTCCCCAGATCCCTGCGCAGGGCCTGGTACGGAGCGGACAGTGACAAATACTTATTGAATGAATGAATGGGTGGTGGGATGACTGGTCAGAGGCATGAATGGGAGAACAGATGAATCAGCTTCTGATAAGCATGAGGTAACCAGAATCAAACACTAGGCTGATAGAATGCTGGCCCTGAGCTGCCAAATATCACCCGGGAAAGGTATGAGTTCCCCTGGGCCTTCCGGGAGGCTCAGAGAAACTCAAGGACCCTTCTATTATTACCTTCTAGAATTTCGGGTCAGGGGCCATGGAGCTAAAATAACACAGAAATTTAGGCCTGCGGGCTCTAATCCTGGCTCTAACCCTGAGTCCGTCCCAAGCCCTTGGACTCAGCTTTAGTAAGAGGTACGGGATACAGATGGTGTTTGCGGCCTCGTCCTGTGAATACCGAGTCCTGGTAAGGGAAGGCCAGTGATTCCTGAACTGCCTGGAGACCCGACTCCTCTGAAAACCCGGGAAAAGCTTGGCAGCCTCAGGGCTAAGCCCATGAAGTTCCCAACACCCCTCCCTCAACCCCGCAGATGACAAGAGCACCATTCACCCAGGATTTTAAAGGCCGACACCTGGGCGTCGCCTCCAGAGATTCCTGCTCAATGGGCCTGGGGTGGGAGCTCAGAATCTGTATTTTAAACCAGGAGTCCAAGACCACTCTTGAAATATAGTACTCCAAGTGTACATTGTCCTGGGTTAAAAACTTGAAGGTACGAAACTCACACCTGTAATAGTTCTGTTAAACAGAATGAAGGTTACCAGAGGGGAAGGGGACTGGGGGAGAGCGAAGGGGGCAACGGGGGTCAAATATATGGTGATGGAAGAAGACCAGAGTTTGGGTGGTGAGCACTCAATGGAGTATACAGACATTGTATTACAAAGCTGTACACCTGAAATTTATATAGTGTTATTAACCAATGTTACCCCGATAAATTAAAAATAAAAATTTTAAAATAGTTCTGCTAAAATTTGTACAAAAAGCAGATGATCATAAAGAAAAAAAATCACCCACAAATCCACCATCCACAGAAAACCGTGGATTTGCACTCACACGTCTACACTGCCAGACTTATATTTATATATGTATTTATGGTTTCCTAAAATTGGATCATACCGTACCTTTTTCTAAGAACTGAACACCACAGACACCATTTCAGGTCTGAGACACAGGAGGTTAAGTGTTGGATTTCTGTACCACCATATCCCCTAGCACAGTGCCTGGCACATAGTAGTTGCTCAGTAAATGTTTGCTGCCCGAAAGCCAGCGAGGCTCTGACACGCCGCAGGCAGCGGTCCCACGGTGTGGCCACGTACGACGTACTCCATCAAGCCCCCTGACTAGACACACACGTTGTTCTTCATTTTCGCTCTTATAAACAATGACCTCATGAACATCATTTTCCTACATCTTTGTACACGCTCTTAATTATTTCCTTCACTTGCTCTCTTCTGAGTAGAGCTGATGACTCAAAGGCAATGATCATTTTTAAGGCCTTTGATGCCATTTGCCTAACATCCATTAGAGACAGCGCACCTCACACACCCATGTGGATTCCTTGTCAGCTGACCCCTCCTGGGGGCTGCTGGCTCCAACCTGAGCCAGACAGGCCCTCCCACCCTTCGCTCATCTTATTATGGAAAAGCTCAAACATATTAAAAAAAAAATAGGGGATCGTATAACCAACCCTCACGTTATCCATTCCCCAGCGTTGCCAATTAACAATAATGGCCAGTTTTGCTTCATCTTTGCCCAATTGCTCCTTTGCCCCCATTATATTTTGAAGCTAAACCCAGACATCACATCAATTCGTCCACAAATATTTTAGCTATGTTTCTCTAGACAATAAGAACTCTTAAAAAAAAAAAACACAAAACAAACAACTACCACCACAATGTCATCATCACAGCTCAAATACCAACAATCAGTCCTCAGTACCTTCAAAGAGAATGGTCTGTGCTAGGAAGAAAAATAGGTTTGTTACTAGGAGTGGGGGTTACTTTTGATCAGGTGGTCAGGGAGGGCCTCTCTGAGGTGGTGGCATTTGAGCTGAGACCTGAATGACAAGAAGCGGCCCCCATGGGAAGACCCGAGAGCAGGGGAGGCAGGGGGCAGGGGGGGAAAGAGTGTGAGAGTTGAGGGAACGAAAGCCAGCTCTACCCCGGCTGGCTGCTGCCTGGCTCAATGCATTTTTCTTTCCGTGACGCCAGCCTGCGATGGCTTTTGTCACTAGCCCCAGAGCAGACAGGGTTTTCTGCCCACACAGTCTGTCGGCTGGCACATTCTGGGGGCCTTCCTAGCTCAATCCTCTTCCCCCAGCAGGCAGCTGAGGGGTCCATGCTAACTGCAAGCACGTGTGGATGGCCGCCTCGGGACAACACGCTGCCCTTCCACACAACTACCAGGACGAGTCCGCCGTATGAAGAATCATCTCCCTCTACTGTAATCAGACATTTGCATGGACAGGAGGAGGTAACGGTCACATACTCAGGCGCTGCGGGAGGGTGGACCTGGCTGGGAAGCCACTGGGTAACAAACGCAAATATCATAAAATAGCATAAATATCAGTCACATTACTGTCATGGTAAAAAACTAGAAACGACAGACATTTTCCCTGAAAAGACAATGCCTGAAACAGCATGGCAGAGCTGCTAGATGGGCGACCGTGCCTCCGTCACCTCTGGAAAAATGATATACACACTGTGGTTATGTCATGAGGCCGAGTACAAAAATCAGAAGGTAAACTGCTATCGACGCTTTAAAAAAAATTACTTCTGCTCATGGGGCAGGATTCACAGGGACACAGGAGAAGTGAAAAGCTTGATTTGCCAGGGGGAGAGACATTCATAGGGAGATGCATTCTTTTGCTGGGGTTTCTGCCTAGTAACAGATCAGTATGTGTTTTAGGAAACGATAAGAAAAGCCTCGTGGATGAAAAAGGTGCGCTCAGGTGGAAACAAGAAAAGGCAAGGTAACCTGTCCTGCAGGATCCAGTGGGGTCCACCTGAGCAGACAGGCCTCCCCGGCCTGTTCTGTGCACATATGCAAGGCCCCAAGTATGCAGGCACTCCTGAGTAGGTGTGTGCGCTTTCTGCGAATGTGCAAAGACACAGTGTTCTCTTTGATCTGGGCCCAGGTGCCAGGGAGCTGAGAGGGGAGAGGGCTCAGGGAGGGGGCATTCGTGGGTGGGAGGGGCTCCAGCAGGAAGAGAGGGTGGGGGTAACTGAGCCACCCACAGACCTGTTCTCACGGTGCCAAGGGATCTAGGATGAATTCTGGCCCTGCCATCCCTCCCTGTGGGACCTTAGGCGATTAGCTCAACTAAGAACAATTATGTGCCAGTTATGATAACAGGAGTGACGATAATAGCTGGTACCCATTGAGCACTTATGGTGTGCCTAGGGCTGCCACATACTTTCCCCAGGGACAAGTCACCTTTCTTCCCTTCTCTGTAAGACAGGAGTAATTGCACGCTCCTCAGAAGCTAGCTATGGGAAAGACGCATGAACAGCCTGGCTTACGCTGCGTTTCCTCCCCTCCCCCATTCCAGGTCTGCTGCACTGGGAACCCCATCGCAAGGCAGGAGGCTGTTCCCTGTGGAGATACATACGGTTGGAGGTGAGTCTGTCTGCTCCCCCGAGAGCATTGAAAGCTCCATGGACATTCTGGACCTGCGGAGAAGCACAGTGAGGGGATGCCTCAGGATGCCGCCACCTCTAGACCTGGCTGTGAGGGGACCGCCAGGTGCCACCTGGTTTAGGGACCTCACCAGCATGTAAAATTGGGACCCAGCAGGGTCTGTCTCATAAGGAAGTTGTGGGGAGCAACATACAGACACAGCACAGGCCTGGTACCCGGTGGGCACCAGCTTGCTTGCCGCCTTGGGCAGCTGCGACTACGTGCCACTCTGTCCTGAGTGCTTCGTGTCCTCTCACTCAATGCCCTCACTGCTGTGCTATTGGGCCCATTTTGTAGAAGAGCAGATCGAGGCTTGGAGAAGCATGGAAATTTGTCCAGTGTCCCACAGCTGATACGTGGCTGAGCCGAACTCCAAATTTAGGTCTGTCTGACCCAGGCCTGAGTTCTTTCCATTAAGTCATACAGAAAACTCAAGCAAAGGTGGAGCTGGGTCCCAGCATGCGCCTCCTGAGACTCCCACAGCCCTCTGCAAGGAGGCCCGGGGCTGCTGGCCTCCTGCCCTGTTTCCTGCAGGGAACATGTAACAATTATAGAGAGACCTTTCTTCACAGCAGCTGCCGGCCTGGCTGTGGACACCACCCCCCCCCCCCCCAGCCAGGGGCTGCTGTCGATCAGGGCTGAAGGCTACATCCCACCTCTTCCCTGAGGACAGTGGGAAATCAGGTCAGCCTCAAGGACAATCTGAAGCATGGCATGGCACGCCAGGTACAGGGGCCACGTGACCAAGGGCATGGTTAACAGGGGCTGCTGAGGTACACACCCTGGAGGGCTTCTTGGAGGAAGTAACACTGACACCAAGATCTATAGGAAAGTGGGAAGTTAATTAGGCAAACAGCATGTGCAAACACATGAGCCTGGAGGCTCAGGAACAGACAGAGACCCGTGTGGCCTCAGAAAGGAAAGTGGGGGAGGGGGATGAGGAGTGGAAAGGAGGGAGGTCAGAGAGGAGGGACAGGTTCCTGCAGAGTGGGCCACTCCAGGAACAGTGGCAGCAGCTGGGTGGCCTGACACCTGATGCTGGCCTCAGGTGGCTGATGTTAATGAGCACTTAACAGAACTGCGCACTCTCCACACGCCCAAAGGAAAGGAAAGTTTGTCCGTGGCTGCCTTGGGATTGAGCGTCTGAAGGCCTGGTTTCTAACCTAAGAGGACGGTGGTTATGGAGATACGAGTGCTAGAACGTTCCCTCCCATCGTGTCACAGTTATATGTCACATTCATTTGTATGACTATCTGATTAAGCTCTGTCTTTCCCTCCAGACTGTAACCTAACATGGGCAGGGACCATGCTCGTCCTCGCCAATATGAGTACAAGGCCTGGCACATAGTAGGTGCTCAATAAATATTTACTGTATGGATAGAACGATGGGTAGATGGACCCTCAGCTAAGTATTTCACCTTAAAAAAAAGTCCTATTTCCGCCATAACAGTGACTAAGCAGAAGGCTGTTCCTGTCCTTCTGTTTCTGCCAGCGTCACACATAATGCAAGGCTGCTCCCTGTCCCCCCAGTCCATTCTCTTCTCCCCAGGCCTCCGTCTGGGCCGTCTCCCCTGGTCCTGGCTACAGCCCCTCTCTCACCTCCCTGCTGCCAGTCTTGCCTCATGGGCCCGTCTTCCACACAGATGGGTGCTCCTTGTGAGATGCCAACCCCTGGTCAGCCCCACCTTCCTAAATCTAACAGGGGTCTCTTGCGCCACATAAACCCAGCTCCCTGCCCCATCTCCAGGTGGATGCTTCTGAACCCTCTCAGCTGACTCTGAAGAGCTCTCAATCCCAGGCCTCTCGCATCTCACCGACAGAACATCGTTCTGATGTGGACACCTGCCAACCTGTTTTTTCTAAAAGTAACCGTGAGGGTCTTTTATGTGAAACTGACCAGTTAGGTGGTGTGTCACAGAGTGGGAGGTGTGTAAGATGTCCCCTGCCCATGAGACTTCCCTGTCTTGTGCTTGGCCAAATCCTTCTCACCTTTCAGGGCTTGGGGCTTAGCTGTCACTTTACAGGTCACCTCTTCTGGGAAGCCCTCCCTGACCTCCCAGGCTGGAGGGGTACCCCACCCCCAACCCCGCATCACTGTCCAACATCCCATGCCTCCCTTGTCCTTAGTCCTACTTGTCCAATGTTATCATGTATATTTATATTCGAGCTCTTCTATGCTTGAGGGCGAGAACCTTGTATTGTTCATCGATGACTATAACCCAGGGCTTGGCACACAGCAGAAATTTCTAGAGGGTCAGATGAATCCAGGACTGTATAAGACACAGTAAAGTAAGACCCCGAGCCAGACACACCTGGTTTCTTACAAGCTGTGTGACCTTGGGAAAATTAATGAACTTCTCTGACCCAGTTTCATTTTCAGGAAAAATAAATCCCATCCCAGCATCCTTGAGGAAGGTTCTGAGAGATTAAACAAGGGGTCGTGTATAACATTGTTCTCTAAGTGAGAAAGGGCAGGCTTCCGTGAAGGCTGTAGGCATCAGAAGTTTTCGTGAGAATTGGTAACTACAATATTGCCTCAGGGATATGAAAAAAAGTTTGGGGAATATAATCAATAATGTTGTAAATATTTTTTAGGGTGTCAGGTGGCCACTTGTTTATTAGGGAGACTACTTCATGGATGGTGTAGAGGCCTGACGACTGCACTGTACACCTGAAGCTGATGTTGAATAATATTATATGTCAACTATAATTTAATACATATATAGTCACAGGATGTGGAGTATAGTGTGGGAATGGAGTCAGTGGAATTGTAATAGATATGTATGATATGGGGGGGGAGTGGGACAGTGGATTGGGGAAGGGAGCTGTCACTTTGTGAGGGGTGAAAAGTATAACTACTGCATTGTTTTATACGCCTGCAACTAATAAAAAAAAAAAGTTTTCGTGAGGAGGGGGTGGTGTGGTGCAAAGATGGGTTTGAATTCTGTGTGTGCACATGAGTGGTGTAATGGTGTGCGTGCGCATGTCGATGTGGGCCCATGTGAGCCCCGGATACACATCACTGTGCCAGAGGGCCCCGCCCTCCAGCAGCCCCATCCAGGAAGCCAGACTCTCATCCAGCAAGGCCTGGGGTCAGGACCGGGCTCCCAGTCCCAGAGCTCGGGCTGGGCAGTTCCCTCTCTGCGCCTCATTCCCTTTGTCAAATAGGGCGTGAGACAATCTACTTCCAGGACCACGGTGGTGGGTGGAGAAGAGAGAGGACACACCAAAGCTCCCCTGCCTGCAGTCGGCAGAGACTGGCTGGTCAGTGTTTGCTGCTTGTGTTGCTGCCATGGGTGGGAAACTGTTGGGTTGGGCCTGCTAGAGGTGGCCCTGTCGATCACAGTAACAACAAGGACTCTCAGGATGCTTCATTCACGGTGTTACCCCTGTTTAATGGACGTGGGCCCTGAGCAGGAAGGCTGAGGGGGCCATGGAGGGAAGTGGGCTGGACTGTGAAGTCAGATCTACTGGGACCCTAGACAAGTGGCTTCTCTGGGCCCAGCTCCACGTCTGTAAAATGCGGTGCCCCCTCCCACCTCATAAGGCTGCACTGACAGAGAGAAAGTACCAGCACTTAGTACTTGCTCATGAAAAGCGAGTCCCTTTCCCCAGACCCCAGGTCTCAACTTGAGGTCCTGAGGGCAGCCACGCTCAGAAGGAATCCACTGGGGGTTGTGTGATGGGGCAGAGGCTCAAAGGCTGCAACCCCCGGGGGGGGGGGCAGCCCGAGGGAGGGCAGAAGGCTCTGGGTGACACAGCTCCTGAATGCCCACCCCCGGCCACACCATCTTGAGTGTGTCCCACTCACCTGTAGTGTGTCCCCAAAGGAGAGCTTGTGGATGACATGGGTCATGTCCGGGTTCTGTGGCTGGGCCGTGGCACTGTGTGTGGACACGTGAAAGTTGCCTGGGACCTGGGGAGAGATGTTAAGTTTCAGGAGTTTGGTGGGCTGCCCCAGAGGGTGGGGCGCAGGGCTTCCCCCTAGAGTCAAAGCTGGATTTGAGCCCCAGCTTGGTCCCAGCCATGGGACCTTAGAGCAGCCAGTGCCCCTCTCTGATCCCCAGGCTCCTTATTTGTAGAATGAGACACTAACAGTTCGACCTGAGGGGGCTGCTGGGGCTGCGGGGTGAGAGCGTGTCAACTGGGTGCATGGTACAAGGCCAGGGCTCAAAATGGCAGCTGCCCACCATCACCTCTCTGGCTGTTGTCCCCACAGTGGGTTGGGGGACGACCTTTAGGACTGCAGACCAGGAAATTCCTCGACCTTGAAATCAACACTGTCACCTATTAGAGGAAGGAGTATGGCTTACAGCTCAGCAGCTGTCCATCAGCGTCTGCTTGTTTTTCAAGGCCGGCTGTTTCAAACACAAAGTTGTTTGTGTTTGAATATTCTCACAGGAATATTCCTGTCTTCACTGGGGCCTGAGCTTTGGGCTGACGTGGCAAGTCTCTGGCCGACAGGCACGGCCCGGCCTCAGCGAGCTCACAGCTGAGTGGGCTGGAATGGTGCCTGGGAGTTTGGAGGAGAGGGCAACCCACTGGGCCTGGGGTGGGCAGGAATGACAGCTCGGCAAGACGTCCCAGGAGGGACAGCATCGCCCACTGCAAGGGGCCCAATTACCTGTGGTAGAGCAGCAGCCGGCTTCCCCACAGGGAATCCTGTCTGGCCTCACTTCCTAGCTGGGAGGCCTTGGGTACGGTCAGTAACCACGCTGGGCCTCAGTTTCCCCATCAGCAAAACAGGGATGATAACCGCAAAGGGTTATTGGGAGGATTAAACGAGGTGATGCGTGCAGGGTTGATGGCAGTTGTTATTGGGTTGGGCTCGCAGGATGGACATGTTTGTCATGACAGCCACGAGAGGAAGGCCCTTCCAGAAGCGGGAGCAGCATGAACAAAGGCAGGGCATGCAGAAAAGCCCACTGCGTTTAAAAAACATTTTTCACTTCATTTTTACTTATATAAATAATACCTGGGTATATTTATAATATAAAATATTCACATGCTAAAGTCAAGACTCAAGTTCCCGTTGCCTACCACCCCCGGAAGGATGAAGCTGATAGCGTCTGGTGTGTGTCCTTCAGTTTTTCTACGCAGTCACATGGGGCCTCCCGTGGACCCCGCCGTGGGCAGAATTCAGAATCGGGTTTGGGGGCTGGGCTTCACGCTCTCAGAGTTAAGTGAGCCAAAGAGGCTGGCTCCCTCCCATCTGCCACCCGCTGCCGCCCCGAGAGGCTGTGACTCAGTGACCCACTCCCCCTCCATCACAGGTGGCTGACTCAGCCAGCACACGCTGGGCTGAAGAAAGAAAAGACGACGCTTTTAGAGCCTGTGACTTGGGAACCTACGTCAGGGCCTCTGCTGGAGTTTAAAAACATATAGATGGTGCCAGGCGCCAAACCCCAGCCCATCCTGCCCGCCTCCTGGGGGGCTGGGTGGTTAAGCAAGGAGTCTGGAGTGCTGGGGGCTGTCAGTACAGCTGGAAACACGTGAACTCTGACTTCAGCTGCTGGCCGACTTCCTGATGGACAGAGAAGGAGGCCACAGGGCAAGTGTAAGCCTGATGCTGGGAGATAAAGTGCTGGGGCCAGCTGCAGACCTCGCCCGTCGTCACGGCTGGCTTTCTTATCCAAACACTCCTTGCTTGAGAGTTCCATGGAGGCACAAACCCTCAGCCCTCCAAGGGTCGGGGGCGGAGGCTGGCCTGAGCTGTGCTCTGGAGCGAACGGACACACTGGTCACGGCACATGTGACCGAGGTGTCGACAAGAAGCAACAGGGGGACTCAGGGCAAAGGAGGGGGAGCCCTGGTGCCGGGCTGCCTGGGTCTTAGTGCTTCTCAGTTTGTATACTGTTGGTCTCCCTCCACTAGAAGGAAAGTTCTGTCAGCACTGGAACTCTGTGCACCGATTCAACGCGGTGCCCCAGAGCCGATAACCACCCTGGAACTTGGAAGGGGCTTGATAAAATGTCTGGAAGGAATGTATGTGTAACAGCTCATTGATTTCTCATTACAAACTTTGTGAAATGGGGGTATCACTATATAATTATCATCCCATCCTCAGCCTAAAGATGTGAAAACCGAGGCTAAGATGGTTTGAGTGGCTTGGAGGGTGTGGCTTGGCCAAGAGGGAACCGAGCTGGGATTCGAACATAGGGCTCAGGGCGACGAATGCCACAGTCTTACCACCACCCACGGCTTTTCCCACTGGGGAGAGGAGTAGCCCCTTCCTGAAGCAGCCAGCAGGGGCTCCAAACCCTAGGGAGCCTGGAATCCCCACCCAGGGTCTCAGCAGAAACTGCCAGGCGGGACTCTGTGTGGGGGGAGGCTTAGTGGGCACACAGCTCAGCTACTGGTTTCTTGGGAGGGAGGGGACCCAGGGGATGGGGAGCGGGGAAAAGGCCACATGGGGCCTCTGTACCTTGTTGATACTGAACTGCCCCTCGAAGCGGCAGCCCACCCCATTGTTCAGCGGGATCTTCATGGAGTTGTCGATGTGCCCCACTTCGTGCCGGCCCATCTCATCCTGGATGTCGAGCCCGACCACTGGGGGAGGCAAGGGGAGAAGAGAGTCACAAACCCCTAGAGGAACGAGGGGGGGTGGGGAGCCCCCTACTCTCAGGGCCCCTCCTCCACACCCTCCAAGGACAGGCAGGCCCAGGCCCTCCAGGAGGCCCAGAGCCACAGAGAAGAAGTCAGCTAGAAGGGGAGGAGGAAAAGTGACCCTGGACTAAGAGGGAGCCAGCTCCCCATGTCCCCCCCTGCCCCCCGCCACTGCCTGCAGCTGGAAAGAAGGAGCGGAAAGAGCTGAGGAGGCAGCGCTAACGGGGCCGGGGGTGCAGGACTGCGGAGGGCAGGCAGGAAGCAGAGGGTCGGGGTTAAATGGTTGCCGGAATCCTGGCCCTTTTAATGGTAGCTGTGCAACCTTGGCCGAGGCATTTAACTTCTCATTGCCTCAGTTTCCGTCTCAGAAAAATGAAGTGATAATAATTAAACATTCCTGGCAGAATCATGAGGCTCAAATAGTTAATATGTGTAGAAAATGCTTAGAACAGGGTCTGATGCACAGGAAATAGTAAGTGCTCAATACATGTGAGCACTTACCGTATCTCAGGAAGTCTCTGGGTTCACTCAGTCATTCATTCATCCATCACTCATTCATTCACACCTTCCTTTACCCAATGCCCAGTCCTCTAGGCCCTGCCCTCCAGGAGCTTGGGCACTTTTCGGGGTTCCTCAGTATACTAAATGGGAAATCTGGGGCCTGGAGTTCTGGTCTTTGACTCCACCACCTCTGTGACTCAGCTTCCCAACCTGTAAAATGGGCAAGTGCACGCCAACTACTTACCCTGAGACGGTCCAGGGAGCAGGGGTTGAGGGGAGCTCCCCATAAACTATGAAAATGCAGTAATTTCCCTGAAAGGAGTGCTAGGAAGGAGGCGGCAATATAGAGAAAGAGCAGCTGGGAGTAATTTTTTAAGTGAGCCAACCCTAAAAGGGAAAAACGGGAACACCCCCGGACTCCTCAGTGAAGACGGAGAAGCGAGTGAGAGCCCATCCATAGAAGGGAAGGTGAAGTGCCAGTAAACATGACATTCACAGGTCTGTAGTATGTGGGGAAGGCTGATGCCATAACATTCGGCTTAAAAGAAATGCAAGCGGGTCCCCATTTGACTCAGCAGTCCCCCCCCCCGGGATTCTATTCTCCAGACACACACATGTCCAGACGTGTGTACAAGGCTGCTCCGGGCAACCTTATTTGAAATCGTGACAACTGGACGCAGCCCAACTGCCTGTCAACAGGGGACTTGTCAGTGGAACAGCCCCCTCTGGAATGCTGGGCAGCAGGTATACGGATGAGCTCAAGCCACACGTGGGGAGAGGCAGCCTAGGGCAGGGCAGTGGCTTCAGAGAGTGGGGTTTGGGGCACACCTCGACCCAGTTACCTCACCTTTCTTCTGTGCCTCAGCTTCCTCCTCTCCCCTAGGCTTGTGAGGATTTCAAAAATTAAAACAGCACTTACTATGTGCTAGACACTCTTCTAAGTGCCTTTTATGTAAGAACACACCACCTGAACACCCCTGTGGGGAAGGTACTATTGAGTTGTCGGGAAAGTCATGACGTATTTTTTCTATGTTTTTCGTTGCAAAAATGAGTCAGGACTTTTCCGACCAACCCAATATTATCAGATCCATCTTATATGGGGAGGGGAGGGGACACTGAGGCACAGGGAGGTTGAGTAATTTGCCCGAGATCTCACAGCTAAGGAATGATGGCGCTTGGATTAGAACCCATGGAATCTTGATCCAGAACCCACACCCTTTAGCAACTCTGCTAGAACGCCTCTCATCTTAATGCACAAACACAGCCAAAAGTATTCAGGCCAGGGCCTAGCCTGGACTCTGAGCTGAATAAATGCCAGCTGTGGTTATTGTTTTACTAATCTTATGAGTAATATAAGAACAGTTCCCAGATATTAGCTGGGGGGAAAAAAACCCCAATAAACCCCAGAAAGGTCCCATATAGTTGGGTCCCAATTATGTAAAAAGAAAAGCCCAAATATGATATATGTTTGCAGACACACACACACACACACACACGGGGGAAGGGGTCCCCACTGCTAGCAGCGGCTTCCTCTGGGGTGGATGGCACAACGAGGAACATGTATTTCTTTTACTTTTTTCTTTATCTATTTCTGTATTTTGAACATGTATCTTTAAAAAAAAAGGTATCATTGTGTTCGTTGTATAACACAAAAAGCATTATTTTTAAAAGCAGGATATGAGATCACACACGCTGTGTGATCTCAGTTGGGTTTAGAAATGTACAGAAAGGAAAGCCAACAGCACGGAATGGCCTCGAGTGTCCACCGATGATGCTGTGGGGGGCGGTGAATGATGGGTGATTTCTTCTCTCTCTGCTGCTCTGGGTTTTCCCAGGGGACAATGATGATCGTGCGTTTTTTATTTTGGTGTTTTTTTTTTCCTATAACAAAAACTTGAAGTTCTTCAAAGGAAAGTGGGGTGTGGGGCTCTAGTGGGAGCTGCCTGGGTTCGGGTGGTGGCCCTGGGGAGCGGCAGGGCCTGGTGGTCCAGTGCAGCCCCAGCTGGAGGTGGCCCCGCCCCTCTTGGGCCGCTGCCTGGAGCTGGGATGGAGGCTAGAACCACATCCCTTCCCTCCCCTGCCCCGCTGGTCCCAGTTCTCTGGCCTAAGAATTTCCTTGTTCCAGAGACATGACCAACTCCTGAACGAGGAGCTGCCAGATGAATTATTTTTCTAAGAGAAAGAAAAACATAAAAATAAAACCGACCTATTCCAATAGGTTCCCGGGCTCCTGGCCCACTGTCAATTTAAAATTGTGATGTAATTCTCACCAAAAGCAATAACAGGACTGACTCTCTTCCTATCTCTGCCTGCAGACCCACCCAGTGTTCTGCTCTTCAATAGGAAAGGGGGATGGGGTGGGAGGAGGAGAAAGGCCTGCTTAGGGTTACATGCCAGACTGGAGCAGGGGGACAGCTAGAACCCCAGTCTGGGAGGGGACACCCAATCCACTTGCTAACAAGTCTAGGAATCAGCTTATCAGATCCTCCCAACAAGCTCACGCAGAAGATAGCACTGAGCCCATTTTACAGATGAGGAAACTGAGGCTCGGAGAGGTTACCTTACCCAGGGCCACACAGCTTTAGTGAGCAAAGGAGCCAGAATCTGACTCCACACTTCACTTCCAGTGAGTTTTGTTTTATACAAGTAATTCATTCTCTTGACTGAAACAAATGAAGCAAACAAACAAAGTGCCAAGTAAAAAAGGAAGTTTTCCGACCGCTGCTAACAGCTCAGAGCCGCCTCCCTCCCTGGGTGACTGCTCTTGGCTGGTTGGAGGCGTCCTTGCCTCGAGATGCTCGGGAGGTTATGCGACCCCCATCGATCACCCACACACCACCCTGCAGCCATTAGCCAAGGATATCAAGGGTATGGATAACAGCCCGGTCCCTTGCTACTGGGTGGGGCAAACTGGTGTCATTCACACGCCACACATCTCTGCTTGTCCTCTTGCCTTCCTCTCACCCTTACAGGTTCCTCCCAAGAGCCCTCCCTCAATAAATCCCTTGTGGAAAACCTCAGACTCTACTTCTTGGAAACCTGACCTAAGAGACACGCTGCCCCCATCCCAACATGGCTACTCTCCAGAGGTAATCCCCATTAGCAGTTCCTTGTGTTTTTTATTCCAGAAAACCACCAAGTGTATGCACATTAGATTACATTCATCCCCCTAAAAAAAGAGTGGGAGAATCTGATGCTACCTGTTGTTTGCAGCTTGCCCTGTTTGCTTAACTGGCCCTGGTTATCTCGCCATTTCTGCAAGCACAGCTTTGCCTAACAGCGGTGTCTTGATGGAGCAGAGGGCTGTTGGGAATACTCACATTCGCAGTGCAAATTGGGTAAACTGATGTTCAGGCTGACGTCAATTTTGCCCCCGCTGTCCTTGTCCGGGTCATCGACGTAGAGTTCGTTCACGCTGAGGGAGACAGGCACAGCCTTGGTTGAGACAGGCGCCCCCGCCCCCGCTGTAGGGATGCTTCGCTTGGTGACTAGTGCTCCAATAACCCGGACTCCCCTCTCGGGGGAGCCTGGGCCTGCTCAGGCACAGAGGAGCGGGGCTCCCATCTCCATGGCGCTGTCCAAACGTCCACATAGAGGGAGGGGTTGGGGTGGTGGTAAGAGCACAGCTCCGGAGTCAGATTCAAGTTCCAATCCCGGCTCTGCCACTTTCTGTGTGAACTTGGGCAGATAACGGCACCTCTGGGAGACCACTTGTTATATGGGGATACCACCCCCGCCCCGTGAATGGGGCGGTCTGAACACTTCAATGAGAATGGTGGGCCTTACTAGGGATCAGAGCCTGGCACCTGCAGGCACCTGGCACCTTGCTCCCTCATCTCTTGCGCACCCCTCCCACCCCACTGGGAAGTTGGGGACCCCCCTGGATTTCCAACTTCAAGTCCCAGCTCTCACAAAGCCCTGGGAAGTCATCAAGTTTGAGAACAACCAGACTAATAATGTATTAGTTTTCTGTGGCTGCTGTAACAAATTGTCACCAAGTTAATGGCTTGAAACGACACACGTGCATTATGTACTTCTGGAGGGCAAGCGGCTGGGAAGGGTCTGTAGGGCTGCACTCCTCCTGCAGACTGCAGGGGAGAGCCTGCTTTCTTGCCTTTTCCCGCTTCTGGAGGCCACCTCAGCTCACAGCCCCTTCCACCATCTTCAAAGCCAGCCACATGGCACCTTCTCTCCTCTCTGATCTCCTAACTCCCTCTTACAAGAACTCACGATTTCATCCTGCAGGCCTGGAAAACCCAGGACCACCTCCCCATCTCAAGACCCTTGACATAATCACATCTGTAAAGTTCCTTTTACTACATAAGGAACCGTATTTCCCTATGTATAAGACGCACTTTTCGAAAAATTTGGGGTTTAAAAACTGGGTGCGTCGTATACAGTGGTTGTAGATTTCAAATGCCATAGATGGAACTGAGGATGAGGCAATATATGAAGACAGTGATGCGTCATCCGACACAGGTGAGGACAAGCTAATGGTTGGGAGTTTTGACAGTGATGAGTTGTATGAATTTTATGATGAATAAAACTTGAGTTCAATAACTTTATGTAATACGGTTTTTTTCCCAAATTTCAGGCCCCCAAATTAAGGTGCGTCTTATACATGGGAGCGTTTTATACATGGGGAAATACGGTAACATATTCCCAGGTTTTAGGGATAGGGACGTGGACATCTTTGGGGGGAGGCATAGTTTGGGGGAGGTGACTCCATGGACATCCATGACACCTTACTATTGGGGACAATGGCATCACACTGGGGTCTGTTAGCAACACACATTTATTCAACAAATACTTTTTGAGCACCTAACCTCTCAGGCACTAGACAGAGAGAAGAACCAGACAGATGTGGTCTCTGCCCTCACCGGGCTTGCAGACATCATCTCCTCCTACATCAATACCTTCTACCAACTACGATTCCTACTTTGACGGGAAGCTTGGGTGGCATGAGAGGGGTGGACAGGGAGGCTTCTCTGAGGAGATGGGAGTTGAGGTCTGGAGGGTGAGGAGGCTGTCCTGGCCAAGACGGAGGGGGACTCTCGGGACAGTGTGGCCAAGGCGGGGAAGTGGGGAGGGCACGGCTCGTTCGGGAACTGAATGAAGGTCACCGTGGCTGCAATGTGGAGCAAAGGAAAGTGGGGGGGGGGTGCAGTCGGGGGCCAGGTCAGAAGGGCTCCGAGGCCAAGGAGAGGCCTTCACACCCCATCCTAGCACAGCGTCATGGTCAGGCTTGCACGTAAGGCTCACTCTGGTTGCTGCAAGGAAGACCGACAGGAGGGGCCACTGTGCACCGGAGACCAGACAGAGGCTGCTGCAGTGGTGCCGCTGAGAGACGGCAGCCTGGCCTGGGTGCGGTGGGGACGGAGAGGAGGGCAGGATGTGCCAAAGCAGGCAGGACTGGCTGATGGACGGGGCGTGAGGGTGGGTCGAGGGGGGCAGGCAGGCAGAATGGAATTACGCGCTGGGCTGGGAGCCCCTGGAAGAGGAATGGGACTGGTGGGGAGGGAAAGGTACTGAGTTCGGTGCTGAGCTCGAGGTGCCTTGGAGGCATCCGTGAAGAGCGGCTGAGTGGACGCTGGAGGACAGCGCCTGAAGCCGGGTTCCCAGATCACTCCCCACGGAGGGAGGGAGCTGAATCTAAAGGCCGGCTCGGTGGGCAACTATGGGCAGCGCTTGAGGCGGCTCCCTGGGTCCTGTGCACAGCACGTCAACAAAATAAAGGACTGCGGCTCTAAATGTTCAGATTCTACAAGAGTCAGTGGCTACCTCTTTGAGCAAGAATGAGTCAGGCCAGGGCAAGGGCATTTTGCTGTTACTAAGATCCTGTCTGTGCCCCTCTAGTGCGATACAGCTGGTGCTCAGTTAACAAGAAAATGGTGGGCTCAGAAACACACCTGGCGCTTGTTTCCTTGTGAGGGTCACAAGGATGTTCCTGGAGATGAGGCTTGACAGGCAGGACTGGGCCTCTGATTGCTGGGCCTCCAGCCAGGAAAGGCCCCATCGGGCCTGTGTGCGTTCACGGTATCCCATCTGCCCCTGTGAAATGTTCTGATCTCCATTCTAAGGAAACTGAGGCTCAGAGAGGGTGTGCCCCACCCCCAAGATCACACAGCAGGAAATGGCGAAGCTGCAACTCCAACCCAAGTCTGCCTTCTGCCCAAGCCCTGGGACTCTGCCTCCCTCGCTTTTGTCCTCAGCGTCCAGGGTCAAGAGGGAAAACGAGGGGGGCCCTGGCCCTCTGAGGCCACAGGGTGTGGGGAGGGAAGACAAGGGCCTGTGCTTGGCAGGTTCATAGCGTTGGCCCACATCAAAGAACAGGAAGAACAAATGAGCCAGTGAGAGACGCGCGAACAGGATCATGGGAGGTTACGCTTCAGGACTGACTTCTCCACAGCCAAACGCGCCTCCCTAGCCTTCCGCACCCAACTTCCACCCCAGGCTTAAGCTGCAACTCAGGACGGTTGTTGAGTAATGAAACTGCTGGGTGATTAACAGAATGCTCACCGAGGGAGAGCCCCTAGCTTCCCTTCCTGGCCCAGTGAGACTCTTCCTTGAAGCTACTCACCTCTCCCACCTGGGGGGGAGTGGCTTCTGCACATCACTGAGGAATTGTGGGATGATGTCATCCCCTGGCAATCCTGTGGAGGTGACCTCAGCACAGAGCGAGGTGAATCCTAGGTGTGGCGCCAAGGTGAGCTCACCCTTGAGGCCCCAGGAGGCCAAGCTCCCGGGTGCTGCCCAGACAAAGGGGCTGAAGTGCTGGGAGGGGTGGACACAGCCCTGACCTGCAGAGCTCGGGGCCAGTCTGGTTATGTAAGGCTTGAACTGGCTGTTCCCAGGCGCCTTCCTGAAGGGCCCTGGGCTGTGGGATAAACACAGTTCAATCACCTGTGCCGCCCGCCCGATGAGGTCAATATGGCCACCTTCTGTGTCCGAGGCCAATGGTCCAGGGCTGCTGGCTTCCTGCCACCCCAGCCAGAGCCGCAACCTCACTCACAGCTGCCACCCGTAGGTGACTGCCAAGGCTAGCTAATCTTATTGCCTGGGGCTGAACTGATTTTAAAAGGTGAACAATGGCCAGAGAAATAAGCCCATCTGTTGCTAAAATAAATGTTTTATGGATTCACTGCGGTTTGGGGACGCTCATGGGCCTGATTCCCTCTGTCGCTAGCAAGAGCAAGGAGAAGACCCAGAGGGCAGTGCAGACAGATGTGAGCTCACCTCCTGGCTCTGCCAGGAAGCTGGGGACCTGGGACAAGTTGCTTCTCCTCTCTGAGGCTCGGTTTCCTCAGCTGTAAAACTGGAAAAGCTTTCCATGAAGTTTAAAGATAGGGAAAATTAATCTATAGTAATAGAAGTCAGAATATTGGGGGGGGGCGGGAAGGGGGCTGGTTAATGGAAGGGGGCAAAAGGGAACCTTCCAGCTGGTGGCGATGTGTTGTCTTGATGGGGTGAGGGTGACATGGGTGTAAACACAGGCAAACATTCAAGTCTCACCTTTTTGTGTACTGTGCTGTGTGTAAGTTATATGCACCTCACCAAAAAAAAGAAAAGAATAAAAGGAGGGGAGGGAGAAAAGTAAAGAAGAGAGACTGTGCCACCGTTGTCACCTATGACTGTACCACCGTTGTCACCTATGAACCAGTTGTCCCTACCTGTCACTGTGTGAGGACCAGTCGCTGTGTGAGGACTGGCGATAAAGTGTCAGGCTGCCTGGGCAGGGGTGTGTACGTCACTCACTTGTCTCTTGAGGGCCTAGCACAGGCCCTTCTCGGTAAAGAGAACACGGTGTCACAGAGAAGCTCCAGGCTCACAGGGTTCAAATCCTGGCTCCGCCACCTACTGGTTGATTGACCTTGGCCAAGGGGCTTCGCCTCCATCAGCATCTGTTTCCCCAGGTGTAAAACAGGGGCACTCATAGACAGGGTACAATTTTAGTAAATAGTACGTGCTCCATAAATGCCCACTACTTTTATTGTTATTATTAATATCAGCGTTTACCGAGTTGATAAGTGTCCGTCTGATAGCATTGTGGTGAGGATTAAACACGTAAGTGTGTGTAAGGTGCCTAGCACGGCCCTGGTACATTCTAAGGCCTGCATAAACATTGGCCTCGCTTATGACTAATCAAAGGAGAGGCCCCCAGGCACTGTGCTGGGGGTTTTCATATCTACATGTGAAAGTATCTCATTTAATACACAGAACAAGCCAGTGTGTAACGGGAGTTACTTTTCTCTTTTCACAAGGATGAAACCAGGCTCAGAGAAGACGGACGAAGACTGGCGAAGGTCACACGGCAGGAAGAGGCAGAGGCGGGGTCTGAACCTGGCGCCACCAGAGCCCAGAGCCATGCTTTTTCTGTCGCATTACATGGCATGGGACAGGGATCAATGAAAAACT